CTGAGCTACCTACGTCAGGCAGAACTTTCTAGGCTCTGCAGAACAGGTCAAGGTCCTTAGAGCAGGGGGGGGAGGTGGGGCATGGACCAGCAACCATAAGATCACCAGTCATCTTCTTAGAAATGCAAATTATGGGGCCCTCGGCTCATAACTACTCAATCTGAAAAATCCAGCCATTTGTTTTGAACAAGCTCTACAGGTGATTCGCATAGGTCAAGTTTTGCAAACAGCTATTCTGGGTTATCCACGCGCAGACACAATCACCACCACCACCACCCACCTTCTCCAACTCCCCCAACTCCTTCCCCTCTACCTGCCCAAGTTTTGCTAGACTTGTCCTTGGGCAGCCTCTGCACTCCACACCCGGCCATCCCCTCCACTGGCGGGGCTCTCTAGAGCTCTCGCTGCCTGGAAATCTCACTATTGACCCAAACTATTTTTCTAACTGGTTTGACTTCCTGAAAATAGTTACTATTCAGCTGTTTAGGCCTCTTCTAGCCCAGGGTAAACTCCTCCTCTGTCACCTCCAAGATCAGACGTCAAGGAGAATTTCCGCCTTGACCTAGACTTTCCCCAACACCTGCCATCACCAGACTTCTTTTTATTCATTCATTCCCACTTTTATTCATACATTCCAACAAGTCTTTGTGCCCTCGGCATCCCAGGAACTAACTACAGGTACTTTAGTGATGCCTAGAAGCAGCGCTCATCCCTGCTCTCACAAAACTGACCCTTTAGTGGGCGATGGCTGCGCGCAAGTAAATACAAAACTACAGATTATAGGCTTATACTAGAGAGGCCTCTGAGAAGGTCACTGGGTGAGACCCGAAGGAAAAAAAGACAGGCCTGACAGTACGGGGTGTTGAATCCATGCCAGGCTTTCGTCTACACGCCGTACATGCATTGCCCATGTCATGCTCCAACAGGCCGATGAGTAGAGCGTATGCTCACCCCCACTCTACAAAAGGAGATACTGAGGGCTGGGGAGAATGAGGAGTAAAGAGGAGAGCCAAGTTGCAAACCCAGGCAGAGGTGCTCCAGAGCCTACCCTCCTAACCACAGGCTAAGGTGAGAAGAGCAGGGTAGAATGGTGGAGGGGGGCCGGACAGGCAGACAAGTGTCCAGGCAGACAGATCGGCAGGTACGCCAGACAAGGGGCAGAGAAACGTCAACCTGAAGCAGAAAGAAAGTCGAGCTTATCAGTCAAACTGGGGAGCAGTGGACAGATTGGAAATATACGTGGGAACCGACCCAACAAGACATCCAGGAACGTGTAGTATGGAGTGTAAGGAATTAGGGGAAACCAAGGGTGACTCTCAGTTCTCCGATTCTGTTCTCAGAGCTTGAGGAAGGTCAGAAGACAAAGTGTTATAACACAATAAAATAAAGTCCTGTGGGGTGCTGATGCCCAGGCAAGCTCTCAAAAGAACATGGTCCTTTGAGCAGGTTACAGCTTCTAGCTCTCCCCACCCTCCCCCTCCTTCTCCATAGAGGATCTTCATTCTACAGGTCCAGCCTACCTCCCAGGAGCTGTTTTCCAGAACACTACTAGCACTGGTCAACAATAATAAGAGTCACAGCTATAGTAATAAGAATAGCTTCCACCGGAGGAGGGTTTTTCTCACACAAATGTAATGCATTTCAAACCAGAGTTCTCCAAATTTCCTGAATAGAACACACTTACACTAATTTACAAATGAGAAGTTCCACAACTTGCCCAAGGCCATACAACTGCAAAGAGGCTGAACCAGAATCCAAATCCAGGTCTAACCAATTTGGAAGCCCCTACTTCCTCCATTAAATCAGCACTTCCCACAACGTGAGACACAGATCTCTGATGGAACACAACAATGGTTTTAAATGCACAAATAAACTTTGTCAAGTTTTAATAGAGTCTGGTTTTATTACGGATAATGCTATGTGCATGTAATACCAAGTAGATAAAAAATTAAGGGGCGCCTGGGTGCTCAGTCACTTAAGGGTGTGCTTTCAGCTCAGGTCACGATCCCAGGGTCCTGGGATGGAGCCCCCAGTGGGGCTCCCTGCTCAGTGGGAGTCTTCTTCTCCCTCTACCTATGGCCCTGCGCCCCTTCATGTTCTCTCAAATAAGTAAATAAGATCATCAAAAACAAATTTAAGGGATCCCTGGGTGGCGCAACGGTTTGGCGCCTGCCTTTGGCTCAGGGCGCGATCCTGGAGACCCGGGATCGAATCCCACGTCGGGCTCCCGGTGCGTGGAGCCTGCTTCTCCCTCTGCCTATGTCTCTGCCTCTCTCTCTCTCTCTCTCTCTCTCTCTCTCTCTCTCTCTGACTATCATAAATAAATAAATTTTTAAAAAAATTTAAAAAAAATAAATAAATAAAAACAAATTTAACATATGCATACACACAACTGGATTCTAAATTTTGCATTACATTTGTAGATGCGAATCCGTAACTGCATGTATACTGCTGCCTAGGAAACCAAGTTTCTTAAAAGTTAATTTAAAGAAAACATTATGGGGATCCCTGGGTGGCTCAGCGGTTTAGCGCCTGCCTCCGGCCCACAGCGTGGTCCTGGAGTCTCGGGATCGAGTCCCACGTCGGGCTCCCCGCATGGAGCCTGCTTCTCCCTCTGCCTGTGTCTCTGCCTCTCTCTCTCTATCTCTCATGAATAAATAAATAAAATCTTAAAAAAAAAATAAAGAAAACATTAGAATAAAAGTACAGGTGATACAGGGATAGGAAGGAACTCTTGGGAACCTACATAAGTAACTGAAGCTTGTGGAACAGGGCTCACCACACCACCACCCAAGAACAGCCAAGCACCTGTTCCATATTGTACTCAAATTTGACTATGGCCACACACAACTCTGACTCTGCTCCAGAGAGATGAAATACTGGCTGCCTTGGGGGAAAGGGGGTAATATCCGAACAACACAATTTAACATGAATCATTCTTAACACAGTATTGGTCTTGACATAAATAAATACTGGTTTGGTGGTCCGAATCCTCCGCTTCTTTATCACACACCTTGATTAAGTCAAGCAAGCTTCCTGGGGCCTCAGTTGTTTCACTTTGTCAAAAGAAAGTCATATAAAATAGGTTCTCAGCTCACTTCTGGCTTTGAACTCCAGAACATGTTGTGAAATCCTAAAATCCAAAATTATTTTTTCCACAGTTGGAGAGGCCTCAATCCCGAATGAGCGCTGACCTGAGAAATAAACACTATATATATATATATAAGTCCACACGGCATCCCAGACGACCATCCCGTAACTAGGGAGACGCTATTAATTACACTTCCCTCTGGAAAATATGGCAAGACGTTACAAGAGGAGAACGATGAGCCAATCAGTATCGCTGTCCCCACCAAAACTTCAAAAATTTCCTGACACTAATTTTTAAGCGACTCACTTTGTTACGGTCGGTCCTCAGTAACTGTTATTTCTAGTCCTTAACAATCAACTTTAATCTGAGTGGAAACAGCCCAGAGAGAAATAGATGGAGAGGAAATCTGCAAGATCTCATCAACCCATCCTTACGTGAATGAAGAAGCCTCAACTGAGAACCACCTGTCAAACCTTCCCAGCTTCCGTCTGAATTCCTCACTCCACCGATGCTCCGACATGTTTGCGTGCTTAAGCCTCTGAAAGGAACTGCCACTCCTTAATTTTCGGAAATATTAACAGAAGTTTAGTTAGAACAAGCATTCTTCCTCTGATACTGAAATAAATACCTTTATCAAAAGGGGGAGTCCTAAGGACCCCTCCCTCTTTCTTCACAAAGCCCTTTCTGTGATGCCAGTGGGCCTCCAAACTTTTAATAGAGGATCTTTAGATTCCCAGAGAGAAGTCCTGCAATGTGCTCACTTCGTTTTGTGTGTGTGTGTGTGTGTGTGTGTGTGTGGTTTTTTTTGTTTTTTGTTTTTTTGCTGAAGAAAACAGAGGATGGGTGGGCTGCAGCTGGCAAAGTCAGAAAGCACAGCTGGGTGGCAGGTGATCTTTTAAAAAAAAAAAAAGAAAAGAAAAGAAAAAAAAAAGGCAAATCCCTGGGCAAATTGTGTAGCCAAGGGTGATCATTATAACTGGAGAGTTGTTACATAATTACTTCTTAACTGCTGACAAACACATCAATGGCTGTAAAATGCCATGGTTACTCCAGACACCGAAGCCGGTGTACCTAAGGCGAGAGTCGAGCTTTCTCCCATTTCATTCAAAGAAATAAGCCATCTCGGGACTTATTTCCCTTCCAAGGTAACCCGTCGGCTTTTTACATACACAAAACAGCCTCCCGCAATTAAACCAACCGCCTCTAGGGACGAAAATCAGGCTCCCCTTAATACTGGTCTTTTTTTTTTTTTTAAAGGGAAAAAGGGGGACTACAGAAACAAGTGCGTGCAAAGACCTCAATATTCATCGCCTCGATTTTTAAAAAAAAAAAAAGAGAGAGAGAGACTTCCCCAGCACACTGGAAAATCCGAACAGAAAAGGGTCTTCCCCTCACCCCACCCCCCCACCCCCGTCTCCACCTCCCTCCAGCCCGTCGCTGCTCAGCAGGCGCAAAACGTAGGGCCCCGAGTCGGGTGCTCCGCATTCCAACATTTCCCCAAAAAGTTTACGAGGACGGAGCGGAGCAGCGCGGAGGGAAGCGCGGCCGGCGGCGCCCGGGGCGCGCGGGCGAGGGGCGCTCGGCGGAGACGGACCCCGCGGGGCAGCCGGCGGCGGCGCGCAAGGCCCGGGGGCCGGGCGACCCGGGTCGCGGAGAGCGGGCGCCCCCGCGCCGCGCAGGGGCCGCCAGCCGGGGGGGAGGGGGGGGCTCCGTCTCCGTCTCCGCCGCCGCCGCCGCCAACGCCGCCTGGGGGGGCCCCGGACCCCCGGCCCTCCCGCGCCCCCGGCCCTCCCGCGCCCCCGGCCCCGCAGCTGCGCCCGCGCCGCCCGCTGGGCCAACTTGGCCCCGGCTCAGCGCTGCGGAGCGCGGCCCGGGGCGCGGGGGAGCCCCCCCCCCGCCGGCGCCTCACCTCCTTCTGCTTCGGGTCCTGCGGGTAGACGTCGGGCGGCCCGAGCCGGGGGCGCTTCAGCGGTCTCTGCTCATAGCTGAGGAGCCCGAAGGCGGCCATGATCTCTCATGTTAACCGGCGGAATGAATGAGAGTCGGAGCTGGAGCCGCCGCCTCTGAGCACCAGGGAGCAGCAGCACTTTGCAGACAGGCTCGCGCTCCGGTCCTCGCCGCCCCTCGCCGCTCCTCGCCCGCTGCCGGGGCTGCCGGGGCGCTGCCGGGGCGCTGCCGGGGCGCTGCGGGCACGAACAGAGCGGGTTGGCCGCAGCCGCTGCCCGGCACGCACGCAGCCTCCCGCGGGCACCGGCGGCGCTTCGGGCCCGGGACGCGCCGCTCCTCCCGTCCCCGGGGGGGGGGGGGGAGGGGGGAGGGGGGCGGGGGGAGGAGCAGCTGCTGGGGACGTGTGACTTTTTGCACCAATGGACCCAAACCCACCCCAGCCGGACACGGGGGTGGGGGAGGGGCACGGGCAGGCGGGGGGGGGGGGCGCGGAAAAAAAACTTTTCTGGGCGCCCAGGCGGGCGGCCCCAGCGCTGCCCGCAGGTGAGGGCGCCCCCGCCCCCGCCCCCCTCGCACGGCGGGGACCCCTCCCCGCAGACCCCGCACCTGGGCGCGGGCCGGGCCGGGGCGCAGGGAGCGAGGCCCGCGGGGATGCGGGCGCGCAGGGGCTGGACGCCTGCCGGGCTCCCGCGGCGCTCCGGGCTCCGAGGCTCCGGGGCTCCGGGGCTCCGGTCGTGTCCCCCCCCCCCCCGGCGGCAGCTGCGGCGGCGGCGGCTCCGGGCGGGCGGCGAGCGCGCTGCTGGCGGTCGCGGCGGGGCTGCAGGGGGCCGAGCTGGCGGAGGCGCGGGGCCGCCTTAACCCTTTGCTGCGCCGCCGGGGGCTGGGGGAGCGCGGGGAGGGCCGTGCGCGCCGACGGCGGCGGGAGCCCGCGGACCCCTCGGCGCCCCCGCCCCCCGACACTTTACCTGTTGGTCCCCGCTAGCGGGCAGGGGCCGGCGGCGGCGGCGGCGGCGGCACCCGGGCGGCCGCAGCCTCCATGATTCGGGGCGGGGGGCGGGGGCGGGGGCGGGGGCGCTGCGATCCTGCCGGGGAGGCCTGGGCCCGCGCTCCGGGGACCCCGCCAAGTTTGCGGCTGGCCGGGGGCGGCGGGCGACGCCGGCTCGCCGCCGCCGGCGTCCTCGCCCCCACGGCCCGGGCGCGCGGGGCTCGGAGTTGGCGGCCGGCGCGGGGCCGCACTGAGCATGCCCACTCGGCGGCCGGCCCGGCACCGGCGAGCGCGCTCCGAGCCGCCGCGCCGGGTTTTCGCAGCCGCAGAGCGCGCCGCCCGCGGGCCCCGGCGCCGGGGTGGGGGGGGGGGTCCCGGGGGGGCTCGGCGCGGGGGCGCGCCCGCGGGACCCCCACCCGCGGCCGCCGCCCGGGCCGGCCTGGGCCGGAGCCTCACCTGCGCGGGGGCGGGGGCGGGGGCGGGGACCGGGGACCGGGGCGCCGAGCCCTTGCCGCCCGCCGCGGGGCCTGGGCGCCGGGAGGCCGCGCCACCTGCCGCGAGCGCCGCGCCCCCGGGGCCCGGCGGGGAGGCGCCGCCGCTCGCCCGGGGATGATGGCTGCCGCTTCGGGGCCCGCCCTCCGTCCCTCGGTGCCGGGAGCTGCGCAGCTTAAAGGTCTCTGGTCCTTCCCCGCCGAGAGACCCTGCACGCGTTCATCGTACCCTTTTCAGAGACGGAGGAAACTGAGTCCGCTCAGCCGAGGCCCGGTGACCTGCTCAAAGCCACACAGCTGCCTCGGCCTCATCCCAAGCTTCGGACCCGTTTTGCACCAATTGGGGTCGGAAGGGCTGCCCTGGCCTTGCTTGTGTCCCGCCCCCCCCCCCCCCCCGCACAGTGAGGAACGTGCAGCCTGGAGGTGGTGCCACCTTCTATAGAACCGTATAAGCAGCATCCAACCCAAGGGCCCCCCTAGGGCACCAGGCATGGAGTAGGTGCTCAGGTGTTGCCCAGAACCCAGCTGACTTGAAGCCAAAGGGAAGGAAGAAAAGGTAGCGGAGGACGGGATGGAAGGTGGTGGAGGCCAGCCCCTCACTCCTCACCCCTGATCGCTCAGCCCTTCGCAAAGCAGCCTAAGGCCAAGTCGGACCTGGAGGTTTGGGTTTCTTGACTCAGCCGGAGCCCCTACTTTCAGATAAGTCACCCTCCACCTGGAGGCATTTTGTGATCCCTCTCTGCACCCTGCCCCCAGGGTGTTTGCTTCCTGAAACCCTGGGTGTAACTTGAAAGCTGAACTTGCCCTCGTGATAAAGGCATCTATCAAATCTAACTTTTTTTTTTTTTTTGAGGAAAAGGACAGTTAGCTAAGTTTATGAGGAAGTGATCAAAGACCACAAAAAAAAAAAAAAAAAAAAAAAGGCAGGAGAAATGTTGTAATGAATTCCCAAGTGCTCATCTTCCGGCGGTGGAGACGATCAAAGTTTGGACATCCTTTCATCTCCCCCCACCCCATCACATTGACGTGCACTAGAGGGGACGGTTATTCATTGTTGCAACTGGAGCACACAGGGTGCAGGACTACATGGTGGGCGCTCAATGGGTGGGTGGGTAGGGAGGTATGTGGATCCATATCTCACTGGGGGTACTTTGGGGATACCTTGTGCTGACATGCTGGTCTGATAGGAGACGTAACCTCAGTTCCTCCCTAGGAATAGCTAGGCAACAGTCTCTAACTGGCCTCCATATAGGAAAAATTTTGGAAGCACTCAAAATCGTCTCTACCCATAAAGATTTTATCTTGAAATCAAAATGTATTAGCACTGTGTCCCTAGTGTTTGGGAAAAAGAGTCCCTGGTCTCCCTAACTCCCTCGTCTCGAGACAGTCTGGCACGGATTCTTTGGCCCTGTCAGCATGGGCAGGGGTGGGGGCGGTGGATAGTGGGAGCTTTCGTGCACTGAGACACTAAGCCAAAAATCATTCTTTCACGATGTGGGCTTCACGGACTTCTCCATCGTCTCGGCCCTCGTGTTCTTCATGGTCCAGCCTCATCTACTAGCTTTTCCTCCTTAATCCCTCATCCCAGTTAGCTCTCAATCCTGTTTCCAAGCATGGAATTCCCAGGCCCTTCATGTTCCTGTAGCCATCTAGGGGCAGTCCTTAGAGTCCAGACTCCTGTATGACACTCACCCCAAACTCTTGAGACACAAGATAATCCTTCAGTTCTTTCAGTGACCTTAGCTCTCAATTCTTATTTTCTTGACAGCTCATTTCTTGCCATGCATTCAGGTAAGTCACACAATTACCCTGTTCTCCGGTACCCACCCTACCCCCTTGCTCTCCTTCCATTCCAGTTAGTCTTTAAGGTGACTAAGGCCAGTTAACACGGAAGCCACCACGATCTACACTGTGCTGGAATCTCCCGTGTTGGTGCCGGTTAACACAACAGACAGGCACAAATTCTTGTTGGATAATGTGAGTCTCATTTGCTACTGTTCCTATAAGGGGCATCTTAACTTTACCTGACTAACCACCACCACCACCACCACCACCGCCTCACCTGGCCTGGGAACAGTTTGCACAGAACAGGAATTACTCAGAAAGCTAGATAATCCCAGACAGGGCCCAGCCTAGACCTCAGCCCAGCTAGAAGTGAGTTCAGGCGTCTGGGGAAGTTTAGTACACCAGGTGAAGGGAAAGGATTGAAATGTGACCAGAAAAGGAGTAATGACAAACCATTTTAAACATATGGGACTTGGGACCCCTGGGTGGCTCAGTGGTTGAGCATCTGCCTTCAGCTCAGGGAGTGATCCCAGAGTTCGAGGATTGAGTCCCACATGGGGCTCCCTGCAGCCTGCTTCTCCTTCTGCCTGTGTCTCTGCCTCTCTGTGTTTCTCATGGATAAATAAAATCATATATATATATATATATATATATATATATATATGATTTTATCCTCTAAGTATGAAGCTCAATCTCTCTCTCTCTAGGGCTGCTTTTGTGGGTCAACAAGTGTTCAAATGCTGACCCTTTATCCTAGGTCATATCCAAGGGTTCTTCAAAGATCCCTCAGCATCAGGAACCTCCTTAGCTGCTAATGTTGCCTCTGCAAGCCCCGGTTTTCAGAAGTCTGCAAGGAGTCCCTCAGAGCTGGGACTGCTTTTGTAGTCTTAGGCAAAAAAGTCCCTTTAAGATGGCTCATGGCGGGCTTTCTCTCTCTACATTTGGTCTGCAAGAAATACACAGATGTCTTTGCCTGCACATATTCTGATGCATGCATTTTCCCACCAGCTTTCTCTCCTTGCCCGCCACAGACACATTCTGCAAGCCGCCACAGTTCTTCACCTTGAATGTTTTCCAGTCTGGGTCACAGACCAATTCCTCAAGTTCATGCACGCTGCAGGGGACGAATGTGAAGTGCAGAGGCCAGTAGTCCCCTCCAAAGCTCTTTTCACAAGGTCTGAGGTGAGGAATAAAATTTCAGTTGCAAAAGGCAGACACACGATCCTACTTGAGAGCAAGTTTCCAAAGAATGAGAGTGGAAAAGCCTAGGAGCAGAGGTAGGCTGTTGACCCACCAGAAATTATGGTCCTATTATCCATCTTCTTTACAGATTTGTGGGTGAGGCTCCAGAGGGGAAGTAACTGGCTCTAGGCCACTGAGTTAGCAAGTGGCAAAGCCAGGATCAGACCTAGATCCCTCTGACTCTCCAACCTATCCTCATTATTGTCAGTGGGCTCCATGTATTAATTACCATTTACATAACACACATAAAAGTGAGCCTCAGAAGACAGGTCTGGTATAAGAGAAGCAAAACTCCTGACAGCTCGCTCTGGCATAGAGCATGCTTCCGCTCAAGTGGAAAGAAACAATTCTCAGTATAGTGCCTGTAGGTGAAGTAATTAAAGTTGCTGGGTTTCCCCGTGGGACTGATGCTTGTCCAGGTGTATATGTTACTGTGTTTTGTTAACAGATTGTCTACAGGCAGTCTTGCTAACTTTCAGTTTTTCTTCTATCCCGATTACATTTAAATGTGTTTGTGTTATACCTACTTCTGACTCAAAAAAGAAAAATCTCCCCTTCTCTTTAGCCTCTTAAAGAAAAGGAAAAATGAGAATGACTTGAGAAGGTGGGCCAGCATAGAGAAAAGAGAAATGGAGGATTACTTTTGGGACATTCCAACCAAAAGGAATTTTTATTTTTATTTTT